ATTTTGGTTGCAAAGTTGGCAACCAAGATAAAGCATGAGCCCCTCATGTGTGCTACTCCAGTTTAACACAGTGGCCGAATGGCAGACGGAAAAACATGCCATTTGCTGTACCAATTTGTGCTGGTTGTTCAGAATTTTCTTGGTAACCATAGATCAGAGAATTATGTTGAGCTTGTGGAGAACATGTTGACAGTGTTTCAGGTAATGGGTGCCAGAATGTCACTTAAGATGCACTTTTTACATTCCCACCTTGACTTCTTCCCACCCAATCTTGGTGATGCCAGTGATGAGCATGGGGAGAGATTTCATCAAGATATGAAGATGATGGAATGCAGATATTAGGGAAAGTTCAATCCCAGTATGATGGGAGACGACTGTTGGTTCTTGCAAAGAGAGACGAATGTACAGTACAAGCGTAAAAGCAAGTGTCTCAAACATTTTTGAACATGCTGACATCACTTGTGTGAGTTAAGATCTGTGTATATGTGGTGTAACATGTACTCTTTATGTGTGTTAATGTTTGTTTTCAGTGTAAAATCCTTAACACAAGTTTGGTGGGACATTATCAAATTAAATATCAAATTATCTTAAACATCAGCAATGTGTAGCTCAGAAACCAGACGTGATAGCTGAATTTTAATTACAGATCTGAAATCAGCATTAAAAATTGAACTAGAAACACTTCTCAACTTCTCAGTAGCAAACAAAAAGTTTTTTTTTTTGTTGACCAGTGTAATCTTATCCATCCATTTTATTGCTAATAATTAAACCCGCTGATTTGGAATCCAGTTGTTCAGGATCTCTGGGATCGATCTCAGTGCCCCTTCTTCAGACCATGAGCAAAGGGTGCCTCTGAATGCCATGAACCCTGCCTTCCATCATTTGCACTATTTTATTGTGCTTTTATTTTCATTCCCTGCAGGAATTTACTGGAGCGTTGAGATTTATGATGTGAAATTCTTCCCTTTTGGAAAATACTGGCAGCACTGCTTCTCAGGTCCTTTGTTCCCCCAATCGATGTGATGGAGCTCAAAAGTGTGACTTCACCTGCTGGTTTGATGCATCCCATTTTGCCGCCCCCCCCCCACTGGGAAATTGGGTTTGTGCATAGCCTACCGTGGCATTTGCCCTACCTGTGTTCATTTGGCTCACTAGACTCTGCGTGACCTGGCCACCCCTGTGAGTCTTTGGGGGAATATACCCATTTCGGCCCACGTTGTATCAGTAGCCTTTGTCAGCAGGAGGTTGAGAGGTGGGGTTTGTGTTCCTCTACCTCTGTCCTGAATTGTAGGAAGATTGCATAGTCTGGCAGCTATTCAGTCTCCAGTAGACCCTAATTTGCATGTTATGAAAAGAATCATCAAAGTGAAGTGTGACTAGAATGAAGCACTGCCTTTTAAAGTAGTGATGTCATGCTGCAACTGTTTGGTTTTCCAGCATTTGTTTTGGCTTTTAGTTGCTTGCCTGTTCTGTCCTTGCAGAGGTTTTATATATGCATTTAACGTATGTTGAAACACTTCAGGTCTTTCATGTGTAAAATGTGTGAAGTCGATAATAAGAAGCAAAGTCTGCTTCCTCACAGGGACCCTCAAGGGAAAATGACATTTGTCTGTACAAGCTCATCCTCCTGGACCATTCGCATAGAGTCACAGGCAGCTGAGAAGCATGTGAAACGCACTGGCGGCAGCGACCCATCTGGTCTCGGGGCCTTGGGGTGAATGAGTGTCTTTGGCCACTCCTGCCTGTTTGCTAGGAAGCGGAGCATGTCAGCTTGAGGCCCGTCTGGACTCTGGCTGTGCATGCCACGCTCCGACGGAACCTCGAACCGGACCTCATCTCCGCATGCTGTGCCTGCATGGATAGTGGCGGGAGGAGCCGGAGGGAATGTGCTGACGAGGAACTAGGAGCACTGGTGCTTGGTGCAGGGTGGGGGCGTGGGGGGATGCCCGTGTGGCCATGGAATCCCATGTCCATCTGCTTAGCCATTTCCTGTAGGACCACAGGTGGCTGTTTTTTTGTAGCTGGGAGTATGTTGTGTTAATGACCTATGGATAGGCTGTCGGGTGTGATTCTTGGTTGGGTTTATTTGGTCTCCTCACCATTCCTTCAGAATCAGGCAGTGTCTCAGCCTGTGCTCTGTCTTCTCCATCACATCCTGTTTTGACCCCCCCCCCCACATCTCTACACACCGGCTGTGTCATGTGATGCAGGGGCGGGCTGTTTATTTTCATCACATTAAAGCCTTTGTTCTCTCGGAATCCTCCCTTTTGGAGGCGGAGAAGAGGCAGCCTCGTTCCTGGGCGGAGAGACCCGCATCCTCGAAGCAGAAAAGCCTCTTTGCTTCGCCTGGCCGTTTTTGTGAGCGACGTCGGATGTTCTCGACCTACAGATACTAGCTGTCACCTTCTTAAGGAGCCTTTTGTATGAATGTTTGACTCTTTAAAAGTTGATGAATTAAGAAATGGTTTTAAGTTGGAGTTGTCACAAGATCTCTAATTGTAGGTCAATTCCTTCTTTTTTTTTTTTTAGCACTTGAAGCTCAAGGTATTTTGTGAGTGTGTTTTTCCAACTTGCTGTTCACCGTCACGACACACCACAGCCCTTAACGTGCTGATTGTGGATCTATGTTCCCATTTACGACTTGGCCTATATCAAGGCTGCACTCTGGCCTTGTCATGTGACCCGTGCATCCTCACCCCCATATTCCAAAACAGAGCACAAAGCAACTGGCGCTCTGTCTGAGGGCACTTAAGGGGGGAATACGTGTGACCTACCTGTGGGTGGTGGGTAACAGAGCATTGGAGATTTAAAAACCAGTTGCTACGTCACCGCATCATACAGTGAGCTTCAAACAGAGCACACGTTGCGGTTCACACACCATTTCCGTTGACTGTCCCTGTTTCTCCAGCGCTGGAAGCCTTCTTTCTGTCTTTTTAATAATGCTACCCTGAAGTACCTTTTAATGGGTTTTCTTTTAGTAGAAGATCTGCATCTCTTCAAACTGGGCTCTGCACAGCTGCCCTGTGCTTTTGTCCATCCTGTGTACAGACTCGCTGCCCTCGTCCTGCTCCTGTGGATCGGAGAGGGGGGGGCTCGTTTGTAGCGCTCTGTACGCGAATCTCTTTGTAGCACAGCTGCTTCCCCCACCCCCACCTTTGGTTTGCGTGGCTGGCTGAGGTAATGCGGCGTCTGCCCAGTCTCCTCCCTCCCCCCTCCCCCGTTGGCGAAATGGCGGGCGTCTCTGCTCCCCTTGGTGCCTTCCATCTCGGTGGACATTTTTAATTAATGTGGATGGGTGGAGTGCCGTTGTCCTGTGACCTGCGCGGAGTCGGGTTCAAAGTGCTAAGTCGGGACAGAACTGTGGTCTGGCCACCTGTGTCGGCTCAGACGCATGCATGCTGCTGTCCCTGTAGTTAGGTGTGAGCGTTGGTGTGATAGTGCCCCCTGGGGGCAGCGCTCCTTCGTGAATGGGAAAAATTCTTTATTGTATGCAATTTATAATCAGAGGGGGTCTCCTCAATCCTGGCTTTGGTCAAAGATTGATGTAAAGGATGCGTAAGAAGTGGACCCTGCCTGTATTTTCTTCGGCTCACTGAGACCTTGTATAAATGCCTTCTGTCAGTGTCTGCATGAGGTTGCTAAGCAGCTTGATCCAAAACATCACTTATGAAAAGGCCTGGATTTTTTTCCTGTGTGATGCATGTCACAGAGGTTAAACTTACTGTGTCTGGTTCAGAGCCGTCGGTATTATTTAAACGGCTATTATCTGTGACACACTTAATTGAGGGGGAATATTAGAATTTCTCTTAAGGATTAAGGTCTAGGTCGGGACACTGGTAATGAACAGTGTGCGTATGAGGTAGTCCAGTGTACCATTTGTCTGTCTGATTATGACCTTCTTCCTGTGTCTGCTTGTCTGCCTGCTTTCCTTGTGCTGCCACGGGAGGCTCGTTATCCAGGCATTGCAGGTCACAGTGCTCTTGCTTGCATTCTTACTGCATCAGACAGGGTGTGGGTTTTCCCAGTCGCTGGATGAGCTTATTTGTCATGAAGTAATTGAATCCTCCCACCCCCCACCACCACACACACACACACACATACACACACACACACACACATACACACACACACACACAACCTGGAACAACGCATTCCCTTTTGTTGTGTTGACTTAATTATAAATAACATGCTGAATGCTGCTGATTCTGGCCTTATTCACGTCGAATATTGCAGGGAGTACATCAGCACTCGCTTCTAATTCCTGGCTTAGTGTAGTGGTAATGAGATTACTGCGTGCATCTTCGAAGAGGAGAGCGAGGGAAAGCGCCGCCTCGAAAACTGGATGGCCTGCATTTAATTCATCTGGTTTTTCCCACGGAGAGGCTGATTCCGCTGCACCGTCCTTTCTGCAAATGGTTCTGCTGACTTTGGTCATTCTGAGCTGGTTTAAACCCTGGAGTTCTGGGGGCTTTCCACACCTGAGATAAACACAGCAGCTTGCCTTCAGAGTCACGACTCACCCTTTGACCTGCTTTTTCGTGGGACAGTGTACTTTCATCATTCCCAGCTGTAGCAGTGTTCCGTTGTTGTACAAGACGCCACTGGATAATGGCATTCAGAACTGAGTTTTCCTGTGCTCTCTCCTGTCTGGTCGCGGTGCAGTTTTCATCTGCAGCACCAGACTGTTACTTTGCCTAAGCAGTGACTTTGTGATGATTTTCTTTCTTTGCCTCGTACTGGCTGCTTACGGCAGGCTGCCGTCCAACCATGTGCCTCCAATGGAATTTGCTGGCAGCAGCGCGGGAAGAACACAGATACCCGTGCACCGGCAGGGCTGAACATCAGCTCACGGTTAAGCGCGTTTCCCGGCAAGGGGTGCTGGGGGGTGGGGGAATGGGAGGGGGCATGGGTCTGGAATAGGAAGCGTGCACCTGGATGTATGTACATGTGTGCGCAGCCCCCACTAATAGCTGAACAATCCCTCGCTTATGTCTCTGTAGATGGAGGAGAGCAGAGGGGCGCTACGCCACAGAGAGGGCCTCCATCATCAGCCACTGGAACTGGCTTCAGGCTCAGATCTCCGACCTGGAGTACCGCATCCGGCAGCAGACGGACATCTACCGCCACATCCGAACCAACAAGGTGGGGGCTGGCGACGGCATCGGGGCCATGGGGGCGGCGCCGGCAGCCCTTTGTTTGTCAAACCGTGGTGCTTTGGGGGCGATGTCGAAATTCTGGTCTGGCCGCTTTTGTACGGCACCTTTTCAGCCGAGTTCACTTTGGCGTGACGAGGCTGTGGTGGTGAAATGGGAGCAGAGATCATGCCGGATCCGTTTACTTATAGCAGAAACGCTTCTGACAGCATGTTACCACGCCTCGCCCGCGAGCACTCGCACAAAAGAGTCTCCGTTGGGCATACAACAAAGGCCTCCACTGCCACTGCATCCGTGCGTCAGGCCGTCACCTTTCACCCACACAGGGATTGGTTGAGCTTGGAGACCTCGCCCCTTGTGACACGTCCCTGGAGGATGGTGCAGAGCTGAAGGGGCAGTTCGAACGCGTGGAGACCGTGGACTGCCAGGTCATACTGGTAAGTCTTACAGCTGTCCGCAACTTTGCGTACACTGGCAGAGGTGGTCAGTACTGCCAGTGCGCAGCCCCTGCTGTCTGAACCACAGTGTTTGGGCTGCAGTTCAGTTGGATGTCACTTGGGAGCGAGACCTTCAAGACTGGTCTTTACTGTGGGTTGTCAGCTTTCAGAGGTGCAGAATGACTCTGTGCTCAGGTATACGGTCTTAATTTGAACCAGCACAGATGACGACCTCGACCAGGTCTCTGCTGGAGGTCTATAGTAGGTGTTATATGATCCATTATCACTTGGAATCACAGTAGAACTGAGGGTGAGACATTAAAATGGATAGAATTAATTTGCAGCCTGGTCTGTTACCGTGTGTGTATTTCTGTTCCAGTATATGTATGACCACAGTTAGCTGCCCCCGGTGAAATTTTGAAATCAGTCTGTCTTAATACCGCACTTCTCTCTCATTTCATTGCAGTGTGACTCCTCTCTTTTGAATTTAGGGAATGGTTAGCGGTCTCAATATGTGAACTGTGCATTTTCCAATTTCAAACGGACTGTGTTTAAAATGATTTATCTGATTTAAGGGAGCAAAAAAGGGTAAATGAAATAATAGTAGTCTTTAACATGTCATTTAAGCATGACTGCATCAACGGCAAACACCTGTGCTTTGGTCTGGAAGTTGGAATGGCCTTTCAACTCACTTCATTCATGGTAGTTTGCCGGCAGGCATATCGCATGGGAGGTTTTACTGAGGAATCGGGGAACGAATTTGTCCAACTTGCATGTAATTGTATTGCTTTATAGATAACTTTGACAAACATACAGTTAGCAGTACTTGAAGGTTTGAAGATAGGGCTGTCAGATTCCTTTAGAAGTGTTCCCACAGGGGCCCACCCCTCCCCTGATGGTCCCCCACCTTGGGAAAGCTTCTGATAAGCCCTTGGAGTGCGGCCTGGCCCATCCCAACAGGATTGGGACAAGATGAAACGGTTCGTTCCCGGAGGGGGTGGGCCAGTGACTGAGAGGAGGAAAGCAAAACAGCGGTGGCCTTTGTTTTCATTACACCATGTGGTAACAGCCTATTTTCTGTCCTCCTTATCAGGCAGGGGTGAATCAAGTCCAAAGTAGTGCACCTTTTGTAGGTTCTGCTGAGACTGTGAGGGTAGCCTGGGGCTGGGGCCAGTCTGTCTGACACCCGTCTGTCTTTGCAGGATCGGAGGTCGGAGGGCAGTGAAGGCATGGCGCCAGCCCAAAGTCCCTCGGCAGAATCCGGCCTGTGGAAAGGCTATGACTCTGGGAGGCAGGTCAACGGCGTCATCAACAGGTACTGGGGGGGGGGGCTCTGCCATGTGGCTTTCGGGGGGGTGGGAGGAGACACAGGGCCTTTGTGTGATAGAGAAGAGCGTGTCTCCATTCTCTGACCGCTCTGCTCGCCCTGCAGCACCTGCGTTGCTGCCCGCACACGGCCTCTGCTCAGCTGGAAGAAGCGAAGGCTCGTCCGTCCCAGCACAGTGACCAACCTCCACCGCAAGGTGAGCCAAACGCACACGCCCCCTTTTTTTGGTCGCGTGCATTTTTGGGGGCCTGGATCGAGACGGCAGTCCAGTGGCTTGTGCCCCGGATACTGGCAGGCTGAAGCTGTGTGGATGCTCTGTCTACCTGAGCCCTTTGTAACACTGGCTTAACCAGTTTAGCTTCAGCTTTTTACATAGAAATTGTTGGGGGAAAAAAAATATTGATAAACCATTTCCTGAATGGCACAGTCCTCAGATCCTGTCGTCTTAAGGTTCCGCCCAGAGCAGCATGAGCAGTGAATGTTTGCCATTGAACTTTTGGCTGTTTGTGACTCAGTGTTACCTGTCATCTATATGTTGTATTTTCCACCTGTCCATGTGTTTCTCTGAAAGATCATCATGCGCCTCTACCCACAGGTCCAGAGAGGCCCCACGTCTCGCAGCCCCTGCGACGTCAACTCCACATGTGTGATGTGTGGTGGCCGGCTCACCCCCAGCGCTGAATTTCAGTTTGACCGCCCCCTGCTGGAGCGACTGTCACAGTTCGACCCCTGCATCCACCCCATCTTGTCCTTCAATGATGGTAAGTGATGATGTTTAACCAGTAATGGAGGTACTGTTGAAAATCCTGTGACATGAGTTAGTGCCCAGATCTAGCAAGGGCAGTGCATTGATGTTAGCTATGAGCTATATGACGACTCTGCTGGAGCTTTTATACACGTTCTGCGTTGTGTAAGTGTGTTAAATCAACAAAAGGATTAAGCAGAGATCTGATACAGTACAAGAATGTAGGTCTTGGTACAACAGGTGGAACTAATTAAGGTACATGAATGTTCCCAGTATTAAGGGGTAAAAATATCATTGTTTTTTCATGAAGTCTTCAGGGGGTCAGATTGATACTCTTGTAGTGACAACACTTATTAATAGTACAGTGCAGCGGTTTAAGCGGTTTGCCATGTTCCACTCAGACGTCTGCATGAACCTGCATCTTCAGCGGGTTCTGAAGACCCACTGGCAGAACAAGCCCCTGGAGAGGAGCAAGCCGCTGAAAAAGCTGTCCCTGAAACACAAGGTGCCTCTCGGCAGCCGGCTTCTCGACCCCCCCTCCAAAGACAAACACAAGCTGGCCAACTCGCTCCTCGCCGCCGTCAGTAAGTGTACGCCGTCATTCGCAGCCCCAGACGCGCACTCAGTATGGTGCCCTCTTCCCACTGCCTTCCCGTGGCAGAGCAGGAGTCCAAGGGCAGCAAGCAAGCACCATTGAGCTTCAGTCTTGGGCTCCTCTCCACGACGAGAGTTTGCAGAAGCCCCAGTTAAAGCCAAACAGCATCTCTGATTTGTGAATAGCAGTTGGCTGGTGGACTTTATGGAGCTCGGTCACGTTTGGGGAGACGCCCTGACGACCCCCTCCCTGCCCCGCTTAGGGTTCCACAAGCTCCGGCCCGAGAAGCTGCACCGACAGCAGCTGGACAGCCTGCTGAGCGAGTCCCGCCTGGAGGGTCGGGCACTCTGCAAGGCGGAGCGCACCCAGGGCCCCTCACTTGGAGCCTTCGACAGGGGCCACAGCCGCAAGAGGCCCCGGGATCATTCCATGGAGAGGCCAGATGGTGAGTAGCATCGCACCTCCTCGATTAGCCTCCTCCAGTAGAAGGCATCAGGTCCGGGCGTCTTTGTGATGTAATATTTCACTTGTGAGCCTTCACTGGGGTTCATAATGTCATCGGTCCTTCTCATTCGTGCTCTCGCTCCATCTAGTCACCTCCAAGCTCTTCATGGACACCGGCAGTCCCTGCTCGTCACTGACCAGCCTGCACACTCCCACGCACAGTCCCCTGATGAGGCAGCTATCCGCATCTTCCGAGAGCTCCACGCACCTGGGGCCCGGCAGCCAGAGTGCCACCGCCACCCCAGTAAGTAGAGCGCCTGTGGTAAATCTGTGCTGCTGCTCAAGTCCTCAAAAGTGAGACTGTAGTCAGTATCTCTCTCCTCTGGCACGTTGATTGATTTTGGCACCCCTGCATTTTTGGTCTCAGTGGGACTGAAATTGCCCGTAGGTGTGAAAGGTGTGTGTGCCCTGTGAGGAGCTGGCCCCCGTGCCCTGGGTTATTCCCTGCCATGCACCTGTAGCTTCCACGATAGGCTCCATACCCCTGCCATGTTGAATAGGGCAAGCGGGTATAGGGGTTGGATGACTTGATGGTTTAGATGAAGAGCCTTTAACCTTCAGATGTTGGAGCCTGACATTTCTGTAGAAGTGTTTATGTTCATATTTAATGGGCACTTATCGGAACAAATGAATTAGTCGAAGCTTATTGACAGGGATATGGTTGTGAAAGATGTTTTGGGTGCGTTCCAGTATTGCTGCAGCCTGATTGTGAGGCACCTGCACTGCGGGCTGTAAAATACTCTGACTGTCTTTACTGTCACTTCACAGTGTAGCTTCACCCCCCCCCCGCCAAACCAGAGCCTGAGATCCAGTGAGGTTGCGTGTGTGTGTGCTTGCTGACATGCGTGTGTGTGAAAGTGAACGGCACTGAGTTTGTCTGCCCCGCCCCCCTACAGCAGCCAATCAGGAGGCGGCGAGGGGAGAGCTCGTTCGATATCAACAACATTGTAATCCCCATGTCGGTGGCTGCCACCACACGAGTGGAGAAGCTGCAATACAAGGAGATCCTGACCCCCAGGTACGACCGCCATCATCCCCGACAAATGGAACAGCCGGCGTTTACACGTATGTCAGATGCACTGGTTTTTCCTCCAGTGGGACGGTTACTAGCCGAAACTCTGTCCCATTTTTCTAACTAGCCTTTCAGCACATTTATGAAGGTGTTTCCCTTTATTTTCAGCTGGCGGAAAGTGGATATCTTTGCACAACCAATCGCAGAGGAGGATGAAAGCGTTGAGGTATGCGTCATTAATAAACAGTTAATAAACAGAGCAGGTTTCACCTCTGTTGGTTGTGGACGTTCACCAAGGTTCTGGAGTTCAGTCTTAACCACTTGCCAAAATTCCATGTTTTGTACCTTGTAGGAATATTGTGAGTTTTTAAAATCTCAGCTTAATACCAATTATTTTTATAATTCATATTTTAAAAAGTAATCTGTGTGTGTAATCATTGCCTTTGCTGTTATCACTATAAGGACTCTGGCTTTCTGGCTGTGCTGTACCACCTGGTCAAATGGCAACATTAGCAGGTCCATAAGGCTCCATGAGTCACCGTCCTCTGCCGTTCTTGCAGATCGAGGACCTGTCAGACTCTGCTTTTGCCCAGCTGCACCAGCCGTGCGAGGACCAGGAGCGCTCCCGCTGGACCTGGGTGGCCAGCGCTCCTGCCAAGAGGAGAGGCAGCAGGTGGGCTGGGGACTTGCACCCCTAAGGCTGACATTTTCAGTGGTGTGCTGTCACCTCACGCCAATAAATGACTTGCCCCATAAGGTCATACAAGTCCCTGGACGGGCGAACGACACCCCTGCTGGGAGGCACCAACCCGTCCACGCCACAGCCCGCGTCTCCCGACCTGCCACATTTCCACGTGCTGCAGGACTACGGCCCCGTGCCGTCGCCGCACAGTCCCGCCAGCCCAGACCTGCTGTCCAACCCCCACACTCCCTGCTCCAGGGACTCCCAGCGGCTTCAGTCCAGTGAGGACACCAGCTGCTCCACCCCCGACTTTACCTTTGAGGAGCAGGTATGGTGACCATGTCCGGCAGGCTTCAGACTTTTTCAGGCTTTTTATATTGATTTACGTTATATTCAGTTGTCAAATATTACATATAAACACACTACCTTTAAGAGGGGACTAGAATTTGTTCATTTAAAGGTAAGACTGGCCGGTTGCGAAAGATGTATTTGTTTTCTTCAGACATTACAGAGTAGGTTATGTAGATGGTATAAAACTAGGCGTTAACCTTACAGGCATGTGGGGGGGGGGGGTTTGGGGTGTTGGAGCGTCACGCATGTGCATGTGAGCGTTTTTTTGTGGCGTGACATTCGCGGCTCATGTCGCCCTGCTTCCCCAGACTGTACAGCCGTTTGAACGAAGGAACTTCCCTCTGGTGGAGGACCCAGGCGAGGAGCAGGAGGACCCGGGCAGCCTGGAGAGCGAGCGGCAGAGTCGGGGCATCCGCCGAATCTCTGGGAGCCGGTTGAGCTTGTCCAGGTCTGAATCGGAGAACGGGCCCTCCTCACCTTTCCTCGAGGAGAGCTGCAAGCAGAAGCCCGCCCCCACCCAACGATGAAAAAGACAAGGCTTTTGTCTGCCACCATGTCCCTGCCACCCCCCATCCCCCACCCTTGTGCCCCAACACAGGCATTAAAATAAAGAAACTCAAAGCTAAAACAAAAAAAAGTAAATAAAAATGGAATCCTGTTGTTTGATATTCAAACATCAGTCAAATTTTTTCACAGTTTTTAGTGAACATACAGACTCTATAAATGTTTTTAATCTTGTTTTGTTGCAGGGGAGGCAAATGTTTGAGGATGGGTGGGGGGGCGGGCTTGCAGAAAGCAAGTGGGAGCCTAGAAGACGACATGGAGCTCAGTGTTGTTCTCTGGTGTGTTAAGTGTACACTTGTAGCGCACTATGTAGCTGGCTTCTCCAAGGGGCTTGGTCTGTGGGCTGTGTTCTCTCCATTACTTGATGTCTGTGACCCCTCCCCCCCACATAGGTTTAAAGTTCCTTTAAAACAAAAAAAAAAAAAAAAAGTCGGGGAATGAAACTCCCGTATATAACCATGACAAGCACGTATGAGGCGTTGTTTCCTTTTAAGAGAACATGTCTGTGATGGATGCAGCCTTCTGGGGGTCACTTCAGCACTTGCATTTCACAGTAGGTATAGATTGGCCTGGGTAACAGGGCCTCTCTGGTCCACTGTTCTCCATTCCTGGCTGTCAGCCATAATTTTGATGTTTGTGTTTTGTTTTTTTCCCCCCCAAACATTAAACATTATTATCCAGCTTTGTATTGTTTCTTTTTTGTCAGTAAAGGAAGTGTTTCTGTTGCCCTCAGATATGATCTGGGCTCTCTACCTTGCATACTTGTATGAGAGTTTGGGAGATCCTCCGCAGCCTCTGTGGGGGAGTTGTCCCACAAGGGGGCACTGACTAGCGCAGAAGATGCACTTCCAGAATTAGTTTTAATTTCATAATTGCTTCTAACTCAAAGATAAATGGTCCCCCCCCCCCCCACTTTTATCTTAGTAGATTGCACTATTGGGGAGATGATGTTGTGGAAGAAGAAAGCTGGGAGATGATAGAATGTTTCTTTATGCTTGTTTTCTTTTTCCCCTCCTGTCATGTTTGTGGTGTGATTTCTTCTGCTGCCCTGTTTTTTTTTTTTTTTGTTCCTCTTAAGTGTCGTTGGTTCCTTCGCGCTCAGCTCAGACGTTCTCTCTCAAAGGAAACCGTGTCACACGTAGCACCTCCATTCTGAATGACGCCCAGACCTCAGGTTGCAGAATTTAAGGGAAAAGGTGGTCAATACTCAGAGGCTACAGTATTTTCCCTAGTGTTTTACTATTTATTGTAGTCAATATGATTGCAAGAGACTACTTGGCTGCACAGTTTTTGTCGCCCAGCATTCTGTCAATTATCATAAAAAGTAACACATTAAAGCACTATTACCTTTTTAGTTGCAAATTGCTATGCAATCCAAAATTTATTATATATACATATACAAATTGTAGGTTATATTTTTTGCCTCAGTTGTGAATATCCTTTCAATCCTGTATCACTGTACCTTTTGTAGTTGCGCGAGACGGGTTGAACTGTACAAATTTGTGTTGCAGCAGTTAACGGAATCAGTTATGAGAATTGTTTTGTAAATAGTACCATTAAAACGATTCATGTTCAAACTTGCCTGAGTTCTGGGACTTATTTGTTGGGTTTTATTGGATCGGCTGGGGGGGGGGGGGGGGGATCACTCCACTGTAAACCCAAAGTTATAGAAGGATCATTCTGCAGTTATGCAATTATCCATGTCCTTTGTTTTCCCTGTTGCTGTATAGTTTGAAGTGTAGATTGGTGAGCTCATGTAAAGGCATTGGGGTGAAGTTTTGTGTCGTCCTGGACCAAGTCCCAAACCACGAGAATGCATCCCACCCCCCAACCAAAAAAAATAAAAATTGGCTTTGACTACAGCAGGGATTGAAATGCCTCTATGAACCGTGGAGCTGGGGAACAGAGTTGGATGGGTTGGGTTTGGGGTCATGCTGTAATGTCTGTAGTCGAACCGTCAGTTCCCCTGAGGCTGTCCCTGGCAGGTCTCTTCTCATGGGAGTCGTACTTATGCAGAAGTGCTCTGAGGGCAGAAGGAACAATGATTGGTTCTGATAGATCCAAGCAAAACATCTGATTGGTCGGTCCCACCTACTCCACAATCTGATTGGTCATCTTTCTGAACCAATCGTTCCTTCTGCCCGCAGAACATTTTTGTGTAAGTAAAACTCCCATGAGCTAAGTCTCTCCTAGATTCATCACTCAGGGTCACTGTTGGGGAAGAATGCTTAGGTTTTTTTTTTTCTTTACTTCCCCATCTTTCTTCTACCCCCAACCAAACGCTGTTCTTCCAGTTATCAGGTTCATGGTATATTTTTCTTAGATTTTGTTTTATTCTGTCCCAGACACTGTCAGCACCTGAGTAAATATTCTCCTGGCAATATGATGGGACCATAAGTACCCATACTGTTATTTTATGACTGTTTGCTAGAATCAATGGAATATATAGACATTATATGAAATGTATAATGTATGATTAGTGTTAAAAAGCCTATTGTATTGTGTGGGTTAACATGTAAATTAACACTTAGGATTGCTAATGTGGTGTATAATTTGATGTATGAGAGTTTGGTACATTCATCAGGCCTTGTGCAAAAAAAATTTAAATATGTTTGATTCCTTAAAGATGTTATTTGATGTTCAGGTGACGGCAGACCTAAATGAACAGGAAGAACTTTTGGGGAACCTTTTGAAAACTTTTGAGGCGTATATTTGTAATGAATACTTAGCAATCATGGGGGAGCAGTATTTTTGCTTCTCAATATTAAACCTATATTGTAGCACATTTTCTGTTGCTTCAAATACATGTTCAAAATGGTGGAATTCCATTACACTACCATTTAATACATTCCCCCGGCATATGGTATGGTAGTTTAACATATAGGTATGTTAAACTGCCCTACAACCCATTTATGGAAGATACTGAAGCAAACCTAACTGTTTAATACAGATTTTATTTCCAAATTCACATTTACAGCAACAAATATCAGTGTAAACCAGTTATTAATAAAACACAATAACCATATGGACAGTCACAATTGCCAAGCTAGAATGTAGAACTGCAGAAATAAAAATGCAGAAACTGGGGGGAGTTTAAAGGCATTAATGAGACTGAAATGGCAATACCTTTCCAAAACTCTCAAAAGAGGGGAGAGCTCTTAAAAAAATCATTTACAACATAGAAAGCCTCACAGAACATTTTCCCTTCCCCTCCTGTGGTTCTTGGATATAGCGTCTCTAACCAGGGCTTTTTTTCTCTTCTTTTTAACGTTTTCCTGCTACCAAGGAGTTTTGTTCATTTAATGCGGAGGAGACGGACTATTCAAACATACATCCAAGTCACTCAAGAGTTTTGGTGTCAGCGATATAGGTTACAAGACTACATGCAAATGAACTGGTTGCATTCCGGAACTGAATCTTCAGGAGCAAGCTTCTGTTACTGCCTCGAATATACCTCTGCAGTGGTTCAACAATAAGCCAAACAAGTACACACATACATAGGTTGGATAATTCTCTAACGCTATCATATCAAACACATCGTCCCCATCAAGAAGAAATGGGTGACCACTTGGGTCTTATTTCTCCTGCTGTCACCAGTGAAATCACCCTAAATATGAAAATGGGCATTATGGGAATACAATGGAGGTTCTAGGCTAACTGGCGAACAGTTGCAACAGCAGAATATCTGTAGAAATAAGTCCTGGCTATAATAATTTTTAATTTTTTTTTTATTTTATTTTATTTTTCCCCCTCATCTGACTAAACCGAAGTGGTCACACTGCAGTTTCGATTTGTGCAGAAATGGTATGACAGGAGTTTCAAACGTTCCTTCATCTTCATTTTGCTCAGGCCTGAACCCCCTTTTTTTCCCCCAGCAAGATTCTGAATATCAACTCCCAAAATGTCCCATTTCTTTACGCCTGATTTTTTTTACTCATGGAGATTTGGAGGCTATGCCTCAGTTGTGGTACCTCAAGTTCAGGTCTGAAGCAGAACCGTAGACTCCGGATGTTGCTTCCTTGCCCAAGTTGCGACAGTTTTAACTCTCACAGCAAGTCTACTAGCTGTTTAACGTTTGCTAACACATACACATATTACTGTTATTTCAATCCACTCTGATCTTTCAGAAATATGACAGTTGTCTTGTTCATTTTTTTTTTCCTTTTTTTTTTTTAAATTAGTGTAGTCTCAGTTCATTCATCAACAAGGGTAAAAATGTTTTTGTGAAGAGCTTTCATCTTAAAAAAATATTAAATAAAAAGCATTTACTTAGGAGCATGAACATAAATAAAAGGGTAGATTAGGCCAGCAGACACAATCCAAAACAGGGTTTTGATAATCAGGTACATCGCACATCCACGGAATACTATTAGAAAAAGCTTGGTTTTATGCAGTTAAGCGTTTCATACTTTTTCACTTTTTTTTTCCTTTTTTTTTTTTTTTCCTCGCGACAAAACATTTACTTTCTTGATTTGTGGCGCAGCACGTGCCCTCAGTGAAGAAAGCGGAGGGAGGGGGGAGTTTGGGCTCGGTCACGGTCTTGCTTTAGTCTTCTGTCTTATCTAGCTGTACATGCAGGGAGAAAAGGCCAATGGGGAGGTGAATAACGTGAGGTGGGGTATTATGGGTAATGAGAATGGAGTAAAGCGTATGACTATGCAGCATCACTTCTACTACTTGTCGCATCTTTGCAAAGCGTTTCTACTTTAACGTGGGTACCCTCCCCTTGCCATTCCGGTAGCAGGTACCCTGTAATGTCGACGTGGTGAAAGTAAGAGCTGGTCTCCACCATCCTGCACATCCTCAAACGTTTGTTTTGTCCAGGAAACTATGAAGGAAACGTTTATTCCTCCACTGCAGGTCACACTGTTTAAAGTTCCACAAGGGCTTATTTTGGATGGGAAAACAACTTGTTGACAACAGCAATCATGAAACCATTTCTTTAAAACAGTTTAACAAAGGAGGGCAAACTGAGGAAACTACAAGTGAAATAATTTTCCATGTTTCCATGTATATGCTTTAAAGGAAACTCAGATGCCACAGCTTAATACCTAATAATTCTGACTCAGGGAACCTGTTTTAAAAGAATAAAACCCATGATCCAGATTTTTTCCCAGGGTATGTCTCTGTTAATTGATAAATCCAGAACCAACTAGAGATAAAATACTTTATTTAAAAAAAAAGGCTAGGATGTAAAAATTTGTCACTATAGTAATTAGTTAGTAATAGGATCTCTCTGACTGATGACTGACGTGTTATAAGTGTCAACTCTGTCTGCCAGGTTTGTGTTAAAGCACAGCCTGAAACTTAGAAGTAAAACTAAACTATACGTGAAGCTGTGTTTATTGTTCATGCTGCTACTTTTACCTACGGTAAGTATAATACAATTGTGGCATTGGCCTCCTAGTCTACATCTATACTAAGGGTCAGAGGCCCCCAACCAAAAAAAAAAAACCTCAAATTCAACCCTTCACGTAGCTGCACATACTTGGAAGCATTTGCCACTCTGTTGTCATGGTGACTGAGAATTCCATTGTAGTTCACAGATCAGTCCTCCCCTCACTAAATCGCTATTAACGCAGGTCACATTTGTGCAGTAGGGGGAAAAGAATAAAGGTATGATGAAATGCACTGGTAAGATGTCCTCTTCCGTGCTCTGACATAACTGTAATCATGGTGTAAGCAAGGTTGCCCTTGCCATTCTCACATTGATAAATAATTTCACTACTCGGCAACATACACACGCCTCACTGTAATCCTTCAAAAATGGAGCTGAAGTCTGTGCTTCTTACTGGAGTTGGGTAAAGTATGTCTATGCAGAAAACAAATGGCAAATCCCACTGGGACTCCTGAATCTGAGATAACAGTCTGAATAGTAGAGTGATTCTGAAGGCTTGAACTGACTCAATGCTCTGCCCAAGGACTCAATATCATCAGGTTTTATGCTGCTTAGGAAATCCCTTGTGAGTAAACTGAATGGGCTGCCCTTGCACTATGCAGATAATGTAGGATGTGTAGAAGTTGTGTGATCCCCAGTTATAAGTGACAAGAGCTTTGCTTATTATGGAGTACATGCTAAAACCATTTTTCCTCCCTTTTTCTGGATTTTTCACGATGATTTTAATTTGATTACATACCCTTCACTCCCACCATAGGCCTATTTATTTCTGTATTTGGAATTTTGTGCATTTAATAAGCTGACACACAAGCAAGGTTAAAAGCAGACTGCATAAAACAAAACATCTTAGAGGTCTCTTTTTAAGAGCAAAGACTAAAAGCTATGAGAAAAGACAACATGATAGAGGCGTGAGAGAAGTGTGGGAATATCTTGCAGGCTCCTGGTCGGTGTGATTAGTGTGGTTCTTCTTTAAAAGGGCCCTGATTTAGCGTTATCAACAACAAACAGGATCAATGCATTCAAATATATTCCAGAGATGGAAGAAAACTAAATATCATAACTCATCAATTTTCCTAGTTATCTAACCGTCATGCCCAAAACACTAATCAACAAAAAGACAGTAAGAGGGGGGGGTAGGATATTTGACCCGGTTAGGATATCCTGCACACAACTCGTTTGAAAGGACGGAGGAATGAAAGCAAAGGTTACTGTTTTCTTTTTTCATCTTTCAGGGTGATTTTTTTTCCCCTCAGGGGGCGAGGAATCCAGCTGGGGGGGCATGGGAATCACAAGCCCTGCTTGGCAAGGGAGGCGGACACCTGGTCGGCAAGGGTGGAGAGTTGGGGTGAGTCAGCCATGTTGATGCTGCCGGAGGAGGACACGTTGCTGAGGCGGCGGGGGGAGCCATCCATGGAGGCAGTGGGGGACTTGTAGACGATATCTGCCCCATGGTCTGTGCGAGCCTTGGCCTCTTCACGGAAGGTCAGCTTGTGTGACTCAATCTGGGGACACATGGATGCCACATAGGATGGGGATGGGGGGTTAGGGTGGGGCGAAACAGAGCACCTGTAAGCCACCGTGCTGGTCCCGTGTGTCCTGTGTACCATGGATGATCATATTACATCACATGCTCATTGAGTCCTCATTTATTTTGAGTGATTTGTGAGCCAGCCTGTCTTAAATAATGAATCAATATGAGGACACGCTGCACCACCTTCGTTTGTTTCAAGGGCAGAACAAACAGCCTTCTTTGCTTCATGACTTACCGATGTTCATCTTTGATGTATGATGTGTGTGGATTAAAATTCCAACAGGCTGCATTCACACCGCTTCTATGAAACCCTTAATTTTTTTTCTTCCCACTCGTGTTTCACTAGTTAAGATGTTATCATTGGGAAAAAATTGGCACAAGCACTCCCCCTTGTGGTAAATGGGCTAATCAGCATTTTATCACAGTACAACAGTTACATTTGCAATAACCTGTCCATACGAATATAGTACATATCAACAAGGTAGCTACATTAAATACCAGTTTATTTATATGTTTGCTGTGATATACTAAAAATGGATGCTTTGTGCAAATACGGTATAAAGAGTTTTTACATATACATGCACATATATAGTACCATGCAAAACTCTTAGGCAGTTAAAGGAAGCATTTAAAGCTATTTATCTTCACACAATAAGGATTTCTTCTTTTCTCCATATGAGTGACTTACATCTTGGATGCCTGTAAGTCGACAGCTTCGGTTTCCAAACCAATGCATTCCATGCATTTGTAAAATTTCCCCACCAGCTCATTTGATTAAATTAAATAATTTCATAAGCTGCTGATTAGCCAAACATGGTATGAATAATTATACAGGCTGGTTATTGCAAACCCAGGAGTGACTTTCGGAGAATATCTGAAATGGCTAAGCTAAGGTACTTCGACAGACGTCACAGTTTTCACACCAACATGAAGATCATTCAAATAATTTCTTTGACCTCCTAAGCCTTTTGCATGGTACAGCATATTTTATTCAAAGATTAAAATTATTGACTCTAGTCTTCTGCATTTGCATTATTACTTTCTTAAATCCTAACAACTGATAAGTGTCTGAAGTAAGGCAGTCACAGGCAATCACAGATTAGGTTTAATGCAGATGACACAGGGCCTTTGTTCAGAGCTCTGTCTGCGCCTTGGGTAAATCCTCCAAGCTTTATTCAAGCCAAAACAGTACGGGTGGACACAGAGAGACTGTTCATGCATAAGTAGGAATGAACCAGAAAAGATCTCCATAATATATCAATAAAGATTTTGTATTTGTTTTGAGCAGGATTGGTCGAGAGGAACAGCGGCCATGTTATTCATTGGTTCCCTCAGCAATAGAGGCAGCTTTCATTTCATACACACAGAGTTGAGGGGGGGGGGCATTGGCTGATCATGGAAGCCGAGTACTTACTGGAGTCCTCAAGCTTTATGAGGGAGTCCCCCATGGGTGGGAAGGATTCAGAAGGGGGCTGAGAAGACTGTGGTGAAGTGTCAGTGGGGGTGGGGCCCAGATCGTCCCCGTTTAGGGGTACGTTTTTCATGCCCCCCTCTGCCTTCTTGCCCATCTCATTCTACGGAGGAACCCCACCATGGCGAAAAACATGCATCTTTGTTAAATAACCAAAACGGCATGGGTTTAACAGCAACACAAAAGTTAAAACAAACTTTAAAAAAATAAGATGGAGGACGGATGACTGCAGAAGCCAAAGAAAAGTAAAGAGAAGCAGGAAAAGCGAAGCGAGGTAAGCTATGCACAGCCATCACTAGATGGTCTCTTCTACAAAATTCACCTGAATGTCTCGCCATCATTCGGAGGTTTACCTAAAAGCCTCACAGTGTACACAATTCCAGCCTACTTCCCCTCCTTCCTCACAGATCATCAGGCTGGTTAACTAGCACTGACGGGAGAGGAGGAGTGCTCTCTCTGTTGCTCACGGTAATCCTGACCTACCCATGATAGAAGATACGAGGCTAAGACACTAGAGATGGACGACTCCAAGCTGATTGAGGCTGAAAATACATGGTCAGAGTGAGCATCTGACCTAACATAGGCACCCGAAGGCTTCACAGGGGCAGAGATCATTCATAGCTAAAGTTTCAAAGAATTCTGCACCGTCCCTCTACACGGCCTGCCCTCCAAGTCCCCCACTTTTTTCACCTGTCCTTCTAGATTTTGATCTATTGATCTTCTAAGCAGGATCATTTCCAAACACCCTGACACCCAGCTACAGAACTCTACACAATCAGATTCACTGCCCCTAGAACTCTAAGGGCTTGTCAATTGATCTCAAGTGCTTTAACCTTCAATTTGTATTTAGAAAACATGAAATTATGAAGTTAGTCATGTTAAATCCGTTGCCCTTTGTTAAGGGTCCTTCTCCTGGGTTTCCTAAAAAGGCATTTGCGAAAGAGAAGCAGAAATCCAGGAGGAAGAGACAGGCAGCGAGAGGGGGCACAAGACCACTATAAACACAAGACGAAGGAAACCGGAAAAGGGGGAAAAGGCAGCGGGCCAGGCAACTACGGCGGCTGAGGGAGCTGCATGTCCTTGTCTGGTTCATGTTCAGCCTGGTCTACGGCTTGTCTAGGTCGGCCTCTGCTCAGCCTCCTGACTTGTGCCTCTCCCCTGCATAAACAGAGGCCGGCCATCCCTGCTGCTCCTTCTCAGAGGACGAACGGCTCCAGACGAGATCATGGACAGAGGCAGACTATCCCCCCCGACCGTTCATGGGCACAATTGTCTGCTGTGTGCGCGTGTCGCGTGTCACGTGTCGTGAAAGGTGCTACAGTAGCAAAGGTCATAGTCGGCCATGCAATGCAGTGAGGAGGACGCATTTGGAAGCAGTGCCCAGGAATTGGGAAAAAAACAAATCATGTCAGCCACCAGAAAGGAAGAAATGCTTTTTTCAGTGCTATGCTCTCAAAACAATATAAAGTATGCATAAAAAGTTGGAGATATTATGGTGGCTTAATTTTACTGTGCTGAATTCAAACTGGTACAGATGCTGTTTCACTGTCTGACAGACTTACCTTCCTTTGACCTCCTCCAGCCACGTGCCCGATGTTCTCAAGAGAGCCAATCTTTGACTGGCCTTTGAACTCCAGCTTCTCTGTCTTTATTTCAATGTTGCCACCACCTTGAATGGGGGGGGGTACAAGTATCAAAGTACATTTTCAATTTACTGTTGGGCCTCAGAAAAAAAAATCATGAACAGGATTTAATTCATAGACTATAGTAGCAACCAACCAGCCTATCGAAAATGATCACTAAACTGATTCCGTAATACATTATTAAGACATGCACATTACACCTTGGGATTGTAAATTTCTTGGTATCTCATGCTTTACCTGTTCGCCAACTGCTAACTGTCAACATGTCACTGAATATCACAATGGGAAAAATATTTTTTCATGCTCGTGCATATCTGGATGCACTTTAATAAAAATATTAAATGACACCCACATTATGGTAAACAGTAAAATACCTGGTTTGTGTCGAATGTTGTCCTTCGAGCCACATTTTGCCTGAACATTGCTCAAGTCCATCTTTTTGTGAACAATTTGAATCTGGACAGAATAAGGATGAAGGACAAGGGGCATTAGAGCAGGACACACTAAGCAGTGAGCAGAGGGGTGAAAGGAGCATGCAGAAGACATGCAAGAAAACCCACAAGGTTTCTGGGCTGACCCAGTAGTCCTGTCAATTCTAAGGAGGGAGGGGGACAGTTTTATTTCTCTCCACCATTATAAATTCCTCCAGAATGAAAAGAAAGACGTCAAATGGCAGAACCTAGAAGGTCACAGGTATTTGTTGCATCTAAATCATTAAAAACGATATAACAGGACTGACAGAAAGAACTGGAGTTTTAGGTGTCCAATTTCCAGACCGCACTGCACCAGGTTCATGCCATGGTCTGAGCACTTTCTTTTCACAGCCGTAAGTGTTCAAGAACCACTGGTGGAAGAAGGTGATTGTACCTCCTCTTTTACAGTGTGAAGAAATACACCCAGTGATATTAAAGACAGGTGAAAATTAAGTAGTGGGGGGGGGGAATCAAATACCTCTTTGCAGAAAAACGTAAAGATAAGATTGGTAAATACTGAAACAGAAAAAACAGGGTACTTTGTATAATGTAAGAAAAGTCAGGGGAAAAATACAGCAAACCTTTTGGATGCATTTTTGTTTTTGTCCCTTTAGTTGCATTTACTTTATTACACAAATGTAATATATATTTAATACATTTAATATAATGTTTTACTCTTTTATGTTAAAGCATTGTTATTGCAGGGCAACAATATATGCTGCAAAAGCTGATATACTTCATCACCCATCAGTTACATTACATTAATTAATATATTATCCACGTAAAAGTGGAGGAACTGACAGAATGGAACATATTCCTCTGCTGATTCAGAAATAATCAACTTAATCAAGTATACTGCCTAAGAAGGGAGCTACTGAAAATTAAATATTTTAAACATAATATTTTGGGTCAACATGAGGAAATAAATATATTTTAGAGGAGATATCCATCATTATTGTTGATCCAAAGGATGCTGGGCAGCACGCTGAATATGAAGAGCAGTGTATTTGACCGTATCCGAAACCGTTACTTGCACGATCAGCCTCCTTAAAGCCTCACTCGGAAGCACCATTCAATAACGTTCCTAAGCGTGTCACACAGGCGGACCCGTCCACGGCAGAGATGGGGAAAAACATCCATCACCAAAACAGCACCACTCTGCCAGGCTTAAAAATATTGCCTCACGCTGGTCTTACCAGAAGATGATAGGAATTAGTGTTTATCAGAGCAATTAACTCGATCGTAATTGGCATGGAAGACACATTTATACCTAGTGACTTAGAAATTTTCCACACCTATAATCACTGTGACATGTTAAAGATTTTTAAATTTTATTTATTTATTTTTTATAAAACTACTACCTCATTAGTCATAGTCTCTAATGAAAGGTTTAACTGCAAAGCCCGTAACAGAAACCCTCTTACGATCACAAACACCTTAAGGATTATTCTGCTATATTCTGAGTACACCAAGGACCACTTCAAATTTAGTATCGGAGGATGTGAATACCAGGAGATAAACTCCTCAACTTGCAATGCCATGTGTAAGGCCAAGTGCGCAAAAGATCTGCAACGATCTGTCAGTCTCACATGAGAGTGAGGTCACTCCTGGGCCAACAGCTGACCACAAAACATAGCGGGTGCCAACCCCCCCGAAACAGGGAGAACAAGCAGCCTGTGTTCTGCGCACCAGTGCAGATGCCACTGAGGTCTTTGTTACTATGAGAGACACTTCCAGCAACATAGCTGAGTATTAGTTTTAATGATATGGCAACAATGTTTCATATTTAATGATATGTCAAGAATGTTTAACACACACAATGTCTTTAGTGATGGACACCTGGGGATTACAAGGACGGGGGGGGGGGGAAATTACCATGTTTGGCTAACCAGCTCGGCTCTGTTTGAGGGACACACCCAGCTGGTATGATGGCATACATGATAACTTCCAGCCCAGGGGACCGTGCTGCTGACCCCGCCGGCAGACACCCCCCCAGTGGGTCCAGGCTCTATGCTACTCGATGCATTTCACCAAGCACATCATGCAGGGCCAGCAGTGGAAACTCGGGTCTGCATCATACTGAGTGACAGTGGCTGCGGGAGGCCTACAACAGGATGGTGGTGGTGGGGGGAGTGAAAAAAGGACAGCCAGCATACAGGAGGGGACAGGCAGAGGTGCTCTTCCATCTGCACGGACACTATGCTCTTTGTGCTGTCACATTAACCACAAACCATCCTACCTGAGGCCTCTGTCTTAGAAATTATTTCCCCACATTTCCTTAAAAGTCTGCCTTAAGTTGATATATTTTTGTATTCTTATTCAAAATAGTTATTCTGAGTGGGGGCTGGTTCATTGACATTTAGTAACTGATGATATAATTCTGCTTCTTGCAGATACGTTTAATCAGCCAGTATCAATTACGTTAAATTGTAAGCCTGCAGTACAAAAACAAAATAAAATCTGAATACCCTGCTTCTTCGTCTGTTCACTATGCTGTGCATGAGCCAAACAAACTATACCCTCAATCTGCAATGCAGTCTCTCATGCATACATGTAACGGCTTTACCCATTACGGCCGTTGGATGGTTGAAGGTTCAACTTCAACAGTAACACAAACGGCCAGACTGCTTGTGAAGAGGGAAACTTGTACTAATTGGAAGCAAAGGCTTTACGGTTTCTGAAAGTATTTTTGCAGGACGAGCTCATTCCAGCTGAACTCTGTCCCACTGTCTTGGATGCATTTGAAAACTCAACCCCAAACACTCTGGTAAACAAACACGAAGGTAATCAGGCAGGCTTGAATCTCAGAGCGCTGTAATTAAAATTATCTGCAGGAAGTAATGATGTGAAAAACTCATATGACCATTTTTTGCTGGTTCTGAAGCTGAATGTTTTAAAAAGTTAGATTTGAATTGATACCAGTGGACAGTGCGGCCATGACCAGTTTGAGGATATTCTACCCAAAATCATGACAGATTTAAGAAAAACACATGATACAAATTGTCTAATGCAATCATATTTACAGTGGCATATTCACATAGCATCAGCCATTACACTTAAACAAACTGACTGATACAGAAAAACATTTCAGGTGGTTTCGCAGTATCACTGGCTTTAAAGATCCTTGCAAGGCTCTAAATGTCTTGGATTTAATAAGGAAGCAGTTCCAAAAAGGAAACAAGGGTAAAATGAGAAAATGTTGCAGTAAAAGATGGCTTTCTGTAGGTTAAAACATCCAGATCATTTTCTGCTATTAAACAATAAGAAAGTAATGTACAAATGAGTGGTGCAGAAAAGAGAACAAAAGGCATAAAGTTCTCTTATTTGCCAGTTGAAAGATTTAAATTTTTTATTTAAAAATGCATAGTTTTTTCAATATAATATTATCGGTTAAAGTAAACTTTTCAAAATATTTCTGTATTGACTGTTTTTCAATATGAACTTACTATAATTAACACCTGGCACCAAAAACCATATTTTTTATCTCAAATAATTAAAAACTAAATTTGTGGTATGAAAAGTGAAAAGTGGTAAGGAGATATCTGGATAGTTTTGGATAGAAAACCCTCAAAGAACTGGCCAGGGCAGCATCCATGATCATAACTGTAGGAAGACTCAAGACGTCAGTGTTGAGCTCATCCCCTAGTCACTCACATTACCACCTCCAGGAACATGCTTCATATTATCTTTCGAGCCACACTTAGACTGAATAGTGCTAAAGTCCATCTTCTTATTAGGAATTTGCACCTGGAAGAGTCAGAGGAAGGGCAAGAGGCTGTTATCCTAAAACAGACAAAAGGCAGCGGGGGAGCAATGAGGAAGCTGTGCTCACGCTTAAACCTGGAGACAGTGAAGTCGCTACGTAGCGGCTGATTACAGGCTGCAATTATGTCACCTAATGTCATTAGAGAGACTCTTATAGCTTGGGAGAAATGAATAGAAATTTCAAAAAGTCAAAGTTGTGTGTTCAGTTTTACATTAAGGATAAAGGGCTCTCAGGGCGCACTACTGCTTAGCTACCGTGGCTGTGTTTCTGCCCATTTTAATCACTGCATTCATTCCCAAGAACACCACTTAGCTGAAATTAAAACTCATGCTTCTCCATATTGACCTGCGACCTTATGAACACAGAACCTCATCCCAATGGGCTGTTCCCTACGTTTCTTTACAAAGCTACATGAAAAAGTTAAACGAGCAGTAGGCAATGTGGTTACATTCATTCAACTGTTCAGGGGCCAAAGACAAAGATGGTGTGGGGCTAGAAACTTACATTGCCACCTCCGGGGACATGCTTGAGATTGACCTTGGAACCACACTTAGACTGAACACTGCTATAGTCTGCCTTCTTATCCAGAATCTGGACCTGGAACAGCGAGAGGAGAAGCAAGAGTGAATGTCATCATCCATGAAGCAGCCATCTTGAGACCGCACGTTAACAAAATGTTTTTATTAAATGTGATTACATGACAATACGCAGGAAATGCCAAATGTCCAGATTCTGCAGGTCTTTTTTTTTTTTTAAGCAACACTTCATGTCTGGAGTTGTGTTCATTCAGGTGACGGTATGAACCCATGCAAGGGGGCGGTCTGTAAATCTGAAAGTGGAGTAGTGGACAGGAAGAGTCTGCAAACAATGACGCTCTTACCCGGCCTCCTCCGGGCTGGTGCTTGAGGTTGTCCGTGGAGCCGATTTTAGACCGGACGTTCTTCAGGTCCGGCATGGGAACCGCGGAGGCAGGGGAGCGGTTCTTCATGGACCCCGGGGACTTGGGAGGAGTGCGAACCACAGCAACCTTCTTCACCTCCTTGTTGGCTCCAGGGGTGTGGGCACGGCTGGAGGGTGATTTTGGGGTGCTGGATCCACTGCGTTCTGGGGTCTTGGGGGAATCTACTTAAAAAAAAAAAAAAAAAAAAAAGTGGCATTTTTGACAACCTGTCTACAGTTCAAGAAGGACTTGTGGTTCTGGAATATTCTACTATGCTGTATTCAGTCCTATCTTTGATTAACTGAACAAAGCCTTTCATGAAACAGCTTCAACATAAAAGGTCTATTGTATGAAAAATCTACTCAGGACCAACCAAGGGGTAGATAAAGTGGTTTAACCAACCTGTGGAATCGATTTCATTTTGACACATATTGCAAAAACAGACTACCAAGTCCAAAAATACACATACTTCTCAGATTGCTAAACATTTTCCATAGGTCTTGTTCTTCCTTGAACTGCACATTCCCTTAATCCTGCACCTTTAACTTCTACAAAGAAAATGTTAATTAGCAATATTAGTTTCAGAAAACTGCCTGAACTCCAAATCACTGAGACTATGTTAATGGTTAAGTGCCGATAAACAAAGTTCTCGTTTGGTTCACGTTCCACATTCCAAGGTTCCACCTTTTTTAGATCAGGACACCATCCTATTCGGATGAGTCAGAAATGCTTATACTGCCATAAAGTAAAAAATCAAGTAAAAAAATGTAAGTTGTAGCAATTAACAAATTTCTCCGACACTCCAAACCCAAAATGGGACATCAAAAATTATTTTAAAAAATTCACCATTGCAACAAGTGTACTGATCCTAGCAAAGGACAGACACATAATATTACATGCATATTTGTGTGTCTATACCTAAAGGCTTTTTAATGTTCCTCCTTGTAAAAGAATAATACTCCAGGGATGGAAGGCCCCAAATCCATTTTTCAAACCTGAACCAGCTTCATTCAGTTGCAGGATTTTGCCCATAATCCTTGTGTGATATTAACCAGTTTGTTTAATTCCCTCAAATGCATTTGGACAAGGGGGACTTTGCTTTAGCTTACGATTCTAAGGCTGGTCAGCTGATGCGTGACGAATAGAGAGCTGCCCGGAAACCAAAGAGCTGGCCTCTGCCAGTTCACTGACGTCACTCCACCAGCATCACAACAAAAACTAATTTCTGCCTAAATGAAAGTTCATTGGCGGAATGTGTTTTTAAAAAAAAAAAAAAAAAAAAAAAAATATTTTGTAAAAAACAGGCTTAGTAATTCTTTTTTTTTTTTTTTCCCCTTTTTTTTTTTTTTTTTTTTTAAACTGTTCCCACTTTATGTAACAATGTTTTTATTAAAGCTGCCTGTGAAGAAAAAAACAAAAACACTCTGTCCAGTTCTAGACTGTCTATCGATTATATTAATAATCAAGTAATCTACCGATTAATTTGATGATCAAATCAAGTAATTATTTATATTAAATATAACATATACATTGAAGTTGGTGGGAGACAGGAGCAAAACCAACCACTTCAGGGTACACATTCACACACACATAGTGAATTTCAGAACTTCAGGTGCATTTTTTGGACAGTGGAAGGAAAGTGAAGGATTCCCTGAAAACCTACGCACACAGGAGGTGAACATGCAAAGTCCACACACAAAGCCGTGGTGAGTGTGGTCAATATTGACATCGCATGTTATGCACATAGAATAGTCGATAAGTTGCACTCATTTTTATTCAGTAATAGGAAACAAAACTTATCAAGCTTTGCAATTTTAATGCTGGTTCCTTTTCAACATTATCTAGTATGTAAAATAAATAATAATAATCAGTCTAAAGTTTAGCACTGCTGCTTTTGTATGAGGTGTGCACGTGCTTTCCGAGCCAATCATCATTCTCATCCTTGCTGTTGGACTCACTCATAGACCCCGAGGCACGTTTGTGTGAAATTAAACAAAAACAAGTGAGGAGGAGAAACGAGAACAAGAACTGGTCACAAAGAGACATTCGTCTTCCACTATATGAAAATGTATTGTATTCCAAGAGACTATATTGAGCATAAGCATGACAGAGCCAGCTCAGGCAGCACCACCAATAAGGTCTATGTGGCTATATTGATAATTTTCAACTCTTAAATATCACAACTTCAAATATTGCAATGTGATTTTTTTCACAATACCATTCTGCCCTACTCAAAACATACAATACGTTCACAAAAAAAACTTGTTTGTTATATGGTTACTATATATGTACTATTCATATACACTCACCTAAAGGATTATTAGGAACACCATACTAATACGGTGTTTGACCCCCTTTCGCCTTCAGAACTGCCTTAAT